GTACGTACGTAGATAGTTGTGCCGTAGTTATTATTTATGTGTTGTATATTATGAAATATTACGTTCTTAACTGCACCGTGAAGATGTATACGGATTAACGCGCGTCTGTCTATACGTTTGCCGGGAGAGGGTGGTAATTTTTTTTTTCTAACGCCGTCGATTTGTCGGTGACGGTGGGAATCGTCATTGTAAAAACTAGCTTTTTTTGTTCCACTTAGATCCCAAAAAAGTTTCGTCGATGAAATTTCGCGGGGGGAGGGGGGTGGAAAGGGTCCGGACCCCATGGACCCACCTGGCTATATGTCCCTAGGATAAATAACACACACACGTGCCTATGGTTGTATATATAATWAWGATATAACGATTGTATTATTATAATATAATCATCTATATATGTATATAAATGGATTTCTGTCTGTCTGTTTGTCCTTTATACATTCCTAAACGGCTGAACCGATTGTGAAGAAATTTGGCACAGAGATACCTAATATATTATACCTATGAGCAGATGATAGGCCAAGTTAAAAAATGATAGTCCCCACCTCGGGAGGTGCTCAGACAGACATTTTGAGATTTAMGATTGAAATTTTTGTTTAATTATCTATCTAGATGTATAAAAATATACTGTTAGCATAATCACAGGCAACGAATTTAACACACAGTTTGAGACCTATAAGGCTATAAGAAGTAGGATTTTTAACGGGCTACGAAGTGCACGGGTTCAGTTAGTAATATTATTATATAGATTATAAATATATGAATTTGTCTTTTTAGGATGATAAGAGTCCGATTTCGACGTTAGCCTTACTGGTGCTATTCGGTGACAGTCTACACAACATAATCGATGGTATGTCGATTGGCGCTGCGTTCTCGGAAAACGTCACCACCGGCATATCCATATCGATTGCAATTGCGTGCGAGGAATTCCCTCATGAAATCGGTAAGCGCAATCTGTATCAATTTATATAAAATCCAACGTCTAATTACATATTATTATGAAGCTTCGTTTTACACAGTCGCTTATATTAAACAGTAGGTATCGTGAGATTAAAAAAAAAAAAAATTTTGATTGGTAGGTACATCTTAAGATAAGTCATGACGTTCATAAAACGATATTCTACAAAAAAAAATTTTCCCAATTTTCCGAAGTATTCACCTTTCTACAAATAGTTTTTGAATATGATATACAATTTTAACAATAGTTAAAAGTTGCATCATGTTGAGCACTTTTTGCGATTACCAATTCATAAATAGTTGTTAAAAAATTAATTTTAGTTAGATATTTGTAATGCACCGGAGTGTTTTTCGAAAAATTATCACATATAAAACCAATATAATATTCTTCAATTCGGTAAAAATAACCGAAAATATGAAAATAATGATTGTGCTGTTACATATTGTATATTTTTATTAAATAAGTGTATTATTTTTTAGGAGATTTCGCTATACTAATTCAGTCCGGTATGTCGTTCCGTCGTGCTTTGTCATTTAATTTCCTGTCAGCCTGTACAGCATTTATAGGTTTGGTCATTGGTATTTGTTTGGGAAATATGGAATATTCTGGGTTTGTGTTCTCTTTCGCCGGTGGACTGTTCTTGTTCATTACATTAACACATTTGGTAAGTTAATTATTACGTAAATAATCTTAATTAAAATGAATTCGATAAATCGAACGTTTGAAACTTCATTTAAATATAAATAGACCACAGTAATTATAAATAATTATCATCATTATTCCAAACACGATAATAAAAAACAATGTTTTCATGACAAATTAATTGAGATTAATTATTTTAGTTGTGTTATTATGTTTGCACTATTCAATTTCAATATTCTTTAGGGAATTAGGCAATTCTAAAAACCTTTACTTGTAAAAACATAAAATAATATTGTGTTGACCCAAATTGCATAAATTATATTTTCGTATATGGACATGAAATATAAAATTAATTGCAATATTTATTGAAATATTATTATAATTTAATTACAATTATTGCAAACATAGCAAAATTTTTTGAATTTTTTTAGGTACATTATAGTATTGTATACGTAACCACTTACCGAGATAGAAACTACATTAATAATATTTTTGTTTGTATTTTGTAAAATTTTCACATTAATATTATTATACAATCTACAGGCATTAGTTTACTTGGGATAAGTGGTTAGCTTATTTTATTAGCTACATCAAAATATTAAATAGTGAGTTGTACGCATTAATTCAAATTTTTTATTTTTAGGAATACTAATTTTTAAATATTTAAAGTAGATAACCGATAAAATGTTTAACAAATTATCAAGTTTTAGAAATGTATATGTTAGTGAAAAATACCCTTTTTACGACACCTCGTTAACTATTCACTATATTATAATAATACGAAATTACATATCACATGAATAATACTAAACAATTTATTGAATGGTCTAAATATTGTTCAATCATTTCTGWRAAAAAAATATCCTAATTATTGATTGTATTAGATTCCATAAAAATCTACAATCATTATCATTAGGGCCCGGATTTAAATGCGCTTAAAAAGTTAAAACCATAAAAATATGCTCTAAAAAGTAGCCAAAAATGTATTTTACCTCAAAAATAACCTTAAAAAGGCGGGTAAGTCGTGGATGTCGCTCTGCTGAACAGTAGGTTACAAGTGGGTTACTGTAACGGATGGAATTAAATTTGAATCCAATGATATTATATCATTGTATACGAAAAACGATTCTGAGCGAAGACGGTTTATCTGTCTAGGATATATTATAGATTATTAAAAATTTTCAAATCTTAGATTTAAAAAGAAAAATTTTTA